ACCTATCCTGTAATAACACACTTAAAAGTTACCTTCTCCATGTTCTCCCTGACTTTCTAAGCCACGTACTATTTTCATACTCTGAACGTAGAAAATATGTAGCATGTGTTTCTCTATAAATAAACACAATTTTGGAACCTTCTAATATAGGAGAAAGTGAATTTGAGACTATATTATGATCTTTCTCAAATATAATCAGGAAGAAAGAGGGCTAATGAATAGTTTAACTATTTTTAAGGGTTTACATAAAAAAAAGTATATATCCTCATTCAAAGAAACTTAGAAAATTCCTCCTCCACCAATCCAATGATATTTGTGTATTTAATTATATCATTAAAGCACAATTCTACAGGATGTCTTCTAAGCCATCCCTGAAAGTCCCAGGGAAATTTTCTGCTTTCTTCAAAGTATAAGAGATACTGCTTCGACCTCACTTTTTCAATTTAAATACATTTATTTTCATATGTGTCTTCCCCATCAGTCTAAGTTTTCACAGTCAGTGACTATGTTTTACCCTGTTTGCACTCTACTGCACTCTTTTCCCAAACCAACACATAGCAGCACAGAGCCTATCATAATTCAGGTAATCAAAAAATATTTAAGGAATGACACCTAATCTCTATCAGTAAGTTTTTTGGGGCCGGTGCTGTGGCACAGCAGGTTAAAGCTCTGGCCTGAAGCACTGGCATCCCACATGGGTGGCAGCTCTAGTCCCAGCTGCTCCTCTTCCAATCCAGCTCTCTGCTACAGCCTGGGAAAGCAGTAGAAGATGGCCCAAGTCCTTGGGCCCCTCTACCCACATGGGAGACCCAGAGGAAGCTCCTGGCTCCTGCCCTCAGATCGGTGTAGCCCCGACCGTTGCGGCCATCTAGAGGGTCAACCAGGGGATGGAAGACCTCTCTCCCGCTCTCTCTCTCCCCGCCTCTCTGTAACTCTGACTTTCAAATAAATAAAATAAATCTTTTAAAAAAATAACTTTTTTAAGAAAAAGAGTAAATAGCAAGGTCATAAAAAAGAAGTAAACATAAACTTCAGGAACTTATTTTTAAATTAAAATTATAGTTCAAGAATATATAAATCACCAACATTCATGTAATGGAATTCTGTACAGCAACAAAACCAAACAATATAAAAACTATATTCCACAGCATGACTATCCATACTGAATGTAACAAACACGTAGAGTGACAGATACACATAAAAAACGAATATATGTTGTACAATACCATTTATATTAAGTCCAGGAAAATAAACTAATCTATGTTACTAGAAAACAGGATAATGATAAACCTTGGAGAAAGGAGAAAAAGAAATATTTTTGGATCCTTTTAATGTTATTTATGATCTTTGAATTGGTTACCAAATTTTCAGTTCAGTTATTAATATGTCAAGCTGTTCACACACAATATACTTTTCTGTAGATAATTAATATTTCAATTAAAATTTTAAAAACAGAATTGAAAATGTACTATTGTTCTGTTTTGAAAAGAAAAAGAACATTAAGACCCAGGAAGCATCTTGAAACCCAGCAGCACTGTCACTACAGAAACATGCACAGCACTATCTGTAAGACTAACACTTCATTCTGATAGGAGCAAGAGGGTTGCGACACTTACTGCCCACTGACCAGCTCTTTAGTGATTCTCAAATTTTAACAAGAGATAAATTCAAACTTAATTAATGCACTTGAGATTCCAGCCATTAAATATTACTGATCAATGTGTCTTCTCTAACAGAACCTACACCAGATCCTATACTTTTCAATCCTTTTCTAAGGGCCTAACAGAACTAAATGTAAATACAATGTAAAATAGTAAGCAAATAAAATATTTCTGAAAAGTATACTGTCACACATTTGGAAGCCATGTAGAGCAGAATTAACAATAAAATATAACCAAAAAGTTCACAAAAAGTAAATTCTTAGAGATACAGTAATAGCTCGTCCACGGACGCTAAAATATTCAAGTATTCGGCCGGCACCGCGGCTCACTAGGCTAATCCTCTGCCTTGCAGCGCCGGCACACCGGGTTCTAGTCCCAGTCGGGGCGCCGGATTCTGTCCCGGTTGCCCCTCTTCCAGGCCAGCTCTCTGCTGTGGCCAGGGAGTGCAGTGGAGGATGGCCCAAGTGCTTGGGCCCTGCACCCCATGGGAGACCAGAAGTACCTGGCTCCTGCCATCGGATCAGCGCGGTGCACCAGCCGCAGCGCGCCGGCCGCGGTGGCCATTGGAGGGTGAACCAACGGCAAAGGAAGACCTTTCTCTCTGTCTCTCTCTCTCACTATCCACTCTGCCTGTCAAAAAAAAAAAAAACAAAAAAAAAAACCAAAAAAAAAAACAAAAATATTCAAGTATTCATGTTAATAGGAAAATGTAAATGAGAAAAATAATTTATTTTCAATCTTACAGTACATGTTTATCTGTACTGATTAAATTTCATTAGCTTCTAGCTCACATGTAATTAAGTTTAATTCAGAAATTATTTTAAATAAAAAGTAATATAAACTGTTGTTGATTTACATATAGATTAGTAATTCAAAACATTAAAATTTTTTACATTGACTAAAGCCTTATTTTGAAAGCTGTAGCTTATAGTAAAAGTGTTTTATACAAAATATAAAAGGATACTTCCAAAAGTTTATTGAAAAACAGAAATAAATTTATTTTGGTGCAAAAAAATTGGAAACCCATGAATACTATAGGTCTGCCAAAAGTTCATAGAAAATATGGACCACATAAAAGACTGCATGGTTTTAAAACTTTTGGGGGCTGAAATAAGTGTATCTTTTAATTCTATCTTTCCACAAAATTTTTTGAAGTACCTTAATATACATATAATCATATCTGTAACTTTAATAAACTCTAGAATGTGGAATCCAAATGAAATAGCTTGTATAACTTGAAGAAGGGGAAACCATGAGTGGGAACAGAGTTGACATTTAATGACATAACAAAAATTTACTCTACGAAAATAATCCTCACTCACCACAGGAGTTAAATAAAATTCCCCATCTTCATACTGATTTTGATTTAGTCAAGCAGTATATCATGTATCTGGCATTTCACTGAGTTCAAACTGCACTTAACTAAGCAGTATCTAAATATACTGAATTTTCTATTTACTACTTTGAATACAGAGTTGCTAAGAATAGACTGATCAAAAATAATTTATTTCCTATTAACTAACTTAAAGCAACTATTTGAAAGCAATATATTTCTGTCAAACATAGCAAAAATATCACCACAAGAATAATGCAGAAGTGGTCTTATCTACAAAAAAACAAAGCATAACCAAGTAAATATTAACATTCTGTGATCTCAGGCTTTCGTTATTTAATTGGACTATTTTGTTACAAATGTCTACAGACATATTAAACCACAGACAATATTTATAGTAAGTCCTACACATACTTAAAATAAGCCTCTCTTATTTAAATATTCTTTCCTATACAGGTGATAACTTATTTTAGGAATTCTGGCTTTTTGAAGAAGAAATCTCTATAGTATATTGCAATATTTATACTAAAATTGTTTTAGCCTTACACATAATAAATAAATCAGCACATAACTGAGATAAGTTTTCATAAATACCTATTAAAACTGCTAGCAACATCTCAACTGGTATAAATCCCACACTATTTCTTGATAGATCAGAATATAGAAGTTGGAATCAAACGCAGCATGTGCTATGTATTTGCAAACAAAAACTTAAATGTATCTCTATATAACATAATAAAGAACATTAAAATATGGGTGAGTTAGAACAGCATGAAATTTATTAAGATAAATCGTCCCTTTTCTCCTGCTCTCTCTCGGCCCTTCTCTCCTGCTCTCTCTCGGTTCCTCTCTCTAGCCTCCTCCTCTGGGCTCTTGGCTCTGCTCTCCTCTCTCCTCTTATCTGCTCCATCTTCTCTCCTTGCTAGCTCCTCTCTTCTCTGTTTCTCTCTTATATTCTGTTTCTCCTTTTTTTCTTCGCCGCCCCTTCACTCTGGTCTGCAGGTTGTACCCCAATAAACCCTTTCCCTTGCAAAAAAAAAAAAAAAAAAAGATAAATCAAGAATAATCATCAAATAATGGAACTGGTTTCAACTACAATTTCTATTTTGTTTTTAATTTTCTCTATCAGTATAAAATGTCCCTGAAAATGTAAGAATTTACATTACTGATTCCATTATTAAATCTATGTATTATTAAAGGAACACTGAAATATTTCAGATAAATTATTTTTCTTAAACATCACTGAATAAAAACTTAATGGAACATATATCTTATAAAAATAAATTACACACTATGATGAGAATGCAAAAGATGTATTCCAAATTGAAGTAATTCACCTTTTAAAATACTAAAACAATTTTCACTAGAAAATAATTTCATATATTTAAGCAATTATTTCTTTTAATACATGAAATCATTCCTTTCAACTAAAAATGTATGATTAGCAACTATTGGCTTGCTTTCTGTGAATCTCTTCAAATTAAAGGTAATGTGATCTTCAATTAAAGCAATTCCGCCCTGAATGAAAAAGATTAAAATCAACATTTCCCAAAATGTAGCTACTAGCGACATCAAATATATTCTAACTCTATATAATGAGTATAATTTTCACTCAGTGGCTATGAATGAGTGAAATTATTATTCAATAGATAAATATTCTGGCCTTGATATTAACTCACAGTACTTTTTTTGAACCTTTATAGCCCCTCAAAAAAAAAATTGGGCACTTGTGCATTTTATGTCCTATTACAATATGAAAAAGCAGTACTTTATAATACCTCCAACATGGACTGTCATTAAACCAAAGAGTTATTACTGGACAAAATATACTATGAACATATTTAAGAAATTAAAAAGATTTTTTAGTGTATCAGTAAAAGCCAGTACTTCAGATATTTTCTAATGTTTTGCATAAAACAAACATATGGACATAAGACGTTTGGTTTTTTCCCTTCCAAGATAATAAATAGAAATTAACGTAAACCACATTTTAACGTAATACTTACCAGCATGTGGGGAGTTTCAGAAGTTTACCATAAAGAGCAGTACTGAAAGAGGGAATAATCGGTACAGGTAAGCAATAAGATCCACTACAATCCAAAGACGTTAGTCCTGCCTGGAAACCGAATATCTGAAACAAAAGAAAAGATCCAAATGTTCACAGAAACAATCTTTTAATAAGCACAGGATGAAATACTTCAGTTTCAATTTGCTGTACGACAGCTGCACACTAAGTGTGTTCCAATGTCGTCTTCCACTTTCCAAGCGATCAGAATTTTCTTTTATTCAATTTGACATTAACCAAATCAAAATTAAGATATATAAATATACAGTATTTCTTTCACATCTCTGAAAGATCACCACTCTTTCTATTGACTAAATTTGTAAGTTCCACATTTCTATATATAGCCCTAATATAGTAGTTTGTTAAAATGTTCATTTTTTCATAAATAGCTGACTGCATTTTCTACCTTCTAAAAAATAACCTTAATAAGTGTTAATATTTTATAATTAACGTAACATTAAGTACAAGAACAATCTTAAAAATGTGTTTTGCCTTCAAATTGCATTATACATACATGAAAATGAACCTACAGAATGCTACTCCTTCCATTTTCTTTTGTGAGGTTTTACACACAAGGAAATTTGAAATATGGAAATTTGAAATAAACTACTCTTCATATGTTTATAGTTAAAATGAGCAGATCACACAAAAGAGTTTATAAGCAATCCTTGAAATTCATAGACAAGATATCTATCCCAACAGAAAGAAACAATGTAACATCACATTTGATATGAAACATTGTAGAAAACTGGCATTTCTGCTTCAATTATTCCCAGTGTGATAAAAGATAAACATCTTATACTGGGAATTCTGAAACAGCAATACAAAGAGCTATTGTTATTCAAGATGCAAAAGCAATTTAACCCCAAAATTTGTCTTATTATTTTTTATTCCTTGGATTTACAAAGTAACAACTTCCACACAAAGGTAGCTTAAAATATTCAAGGAAAATGCACATTATGGAAAAACTCTGCATAGATTTCAAAAAAATTGTGCACTGAAAATAAATTATCTTTAAATTCTATTTTCCATAAGCATTTTGAAATAACTTTACATATACTGATTAACTATAAAATTATATTCTGAGACATGTTTAAAATTTCCTAATTTTTGAAAATATTTGTTTAATGAGTATAAGATGATCAATTTTTTAAAAGTGTTAATCCATTTCCAAATGTTTTCAAAAAGTTATCATGTCATGATTATTCATCAAACTGTCAAGTCAATTGTTCTAAAATAAATTTCCACTGAATAAAGTAACATTTCAGAAATAAGGCATTATTGAAAATGAATCTCGATGTGAATGGAAGGGGAAAAGGAGCGAGAAAGGTGAGGGTTGTGGGTGGGAGGGAAATTATGGGGGGGAAGCCATTGTAATCCATAAGCTGTACTTTGGAAATTTATATTCATTAAATAAAAGTTTTTAAAAAAAGAAATAAGGCATTATTAGCAATGACATTTTCAGAGAAAATTCATTTCAGAAGACCTACCCAAGTACTATCAATTCACATTATTTAATAATGTAATTACTATCAAACAATGTATCAAGGTGAAGTGATACATCTATTTAACTTCTATAGGTCTTTATTAACCAACTGGTAAGAAATACAGGATTAAGAAGGGAAAGGAAAAGTCACACTTCTAATACTAAAGCGATTGCTTACAATCATTCATTAAAATTTAGGTATTTCACACTCATTCCTTTTGAGGACCTGTTCTGAGCAACACTGTGTGCTGGAACTGTGCTTTCTAATTCCTTCTAAAGGCCCATTATTTCAAGGATACTGAAAACTACAAATTAATATGACTTAATCCCAAACACAATTATTCAAACAATGTCTAACCTTCACATATTTCTAGTCATATGAATAAGGGTAATACCTTAACATGTCATATCACCTTATGTTCAATAAGAACTCTCAAAGCCACTTTCTAATTTTCCATTACATGCTCCAACAGTATAATCAGAGACACTATCATTAACCACACTGCAGAGGAGATCCCCTGCTGGTTGTGTGTAGAACTGCAAAGGAGTACTAGGGAAGTTGCCTATCACTGTTGTTTTCTAAAAAGTTTATATTTCCATCTTACACAAAGATGCTTCTAAGGAAAAATTCAAGTACATAAAAACAGTATGGAAGAAGGTACATTCAACAAAGTAATTATCTTCTATAGATAGCCAAATTAATTTTATGCTTAAAGGATCGTATTGGGCTTCCTATCATTCACCACATCAAAAATAACTATTTCAGTTTCACACCGGTGTTTGGCAACATGTGGAATACATGCATTCCAGATCAAAGGGCCTAGTTCAAATCCTGACTACTCTGTTTCCAATCCAGCTTCCTGCTAATGCTTATTCTGGAAGGCAGCAGATGTTGGCTCAAGTACTTGGGTCCCTAACACCCACATGTTATGGGATCCTGGCTTTGGCCTGGCCAAGCCCTAACTGTTGCAGGCACTGGAGAATGAACCAGCAGATGGAAAATCTCTGTGTCTTTCCCTTGGTTCTCTGTCTTTCAAATAAAATAAAAATCAGAAGTTTTAAAAATAATTATTTCAATAAAAAATTTTAAACTCCTTCTAAACTTCATCAAAGATATACATATTTACAGTGACTATGTAACATAATAATTTGTCAGCATCTTTTGACCTAGATTATAAATACTGAATCTGGAAAAAGGAGATCCAGCAAAATGTGAATCTAAGTTGCTAAGGAGGATAGTTTATATAACCAGAAATAAAGTGCTGAATATTATAAACCAATAGTCTAAAACAGTAAAAATGTATGAAGCAATAACTACCAGAAGCAATTTGAGTAAAAGGAAACGCAAACTTGAATAAGATTAACTACAAATAACATTAAATGGAAAGTTAAACATGTAAGGCCACTTAAAAATATGCAATTAGCAAATAATAAAATACAACATCGATACTCCAACATGTTACAACAAATGTTCCTGACAAGATCTCAACAAAAAAAAAACTGTAATAAATTTAGCAACATCATAATACAAATTATTTCATTTTAAACAAAAATTACTGTGATGAATTAGTATTTGCAATTTTAAAATCATAAAAATCAAGTGATAACAAAAACATAAGTTATGTAAAATCATTTTTATGTTGTTGCCATTTTAAGACACACAGTAAAATAATATAGCTAGCATCTTAAAGATGCTTCAACAAAGACACAAGTAATCATTGTCCCTTTCTCCTGGAAAGGGAAGGTTGATTCTCCACTTACCCTTAAAGAAAAACAAGCTGTCAGACCACCACCTCCTCTGCAACAAGCAGTAAAATAACATTTGTCTCCTTTCATCAGCAAGTATCTTCAAAGAGTAGCCCAAAGTCTACTACAATTTTTTTTTTTTTAACCTACACACTTCTTAAACTCCCCAATCTAGTTTCTGGGTAAGTATTCACTGAAACAAAAGATAACTATGGGGAAAATGGTACTTAGGTTTTTCAATTATGGAGGGAAAGGAAGAAGTATTATTTCTTGCTTTTTCCCCCCTACCAATAATTTAAGCAACTAAAATGAACACTGTCCTGGTGTCTTTATTAAAAAAAAAAAAAAAAAAAAAAAAAAAAAAACACTGGCTCAAAGACTTGGACCCCTGCCACCCATGTGGGAGTACAGGATGGAGTTCCAGGCCCCTGACTTCAGCCTCAGCCAGCAAAGGCAGATGGAGCCATTTGGGGAGTGAACCAGCAGATGGAAGATTTCTTTCTTTTCTTTCTTCTCTCTCTCTCCCTCTCTCTCTTCCTCCCCTCTCCTCTCTCTGTAACTCTGCCTTTCAAATATATAAATCTTTTTTAAAAAGAAATAAAATCACTTCGAATATTACAGCAAGAACACTTGCAACTAAACAATCAAAAGAAAAACCAATTTAAAAATCGGCTGAAAATCCGAACAGCTGTTTCTTGAAAGAATAAATAGAAATGGCCAATGAGTAATAAACATGTTAAAAAAGAGCTGAGTATCACTATTCATGAATTCTACATAAACATAGTATCTTTGAAAGGTCTAAAATTACATCTGCTTCAAGAAAACAAGGCAAATACTTATCTGATATTCAAATTTTGTTCACAGAACACAATTTGATTGGATATATTGTCTTTGATAAGCAAAAATACTTTCCACTCAACATTTCAGTTCATCATTGTGTGAACCTGTGCTGGAATGCACTGCTTATGTAAAAAAGGAAAAATGGAATAGCTGGGCAAAAGTTCCAATAATTCTCTTCACATAATTATTTAACAAGAAATTTGTCTTTTATATCAAGAGATTAATATAACTTTGAGAAATGTCACCAGAAAATGTGGTTAAACTTTTCTTTAAAGACACATTTATTTGAAAGGCAGAGTAACAGCACAAAAGAGAGGGAGAGAGATCTTTCATCCAATGGTATATTCCCCAAATGGACTAAATAGCCTGGATTGGGCTAGATAGAAGCTTAGAGACACGAAGTCCATATGGTCCCACATGGGTGACAGGGGTCCAAGCACTTGGGCCATCCTCCACTGCTTTGTGAGGTGCATTCGCAGGGAGCTAGATTGGAAGCGGAACAGCAGGGACTCAAACTGATGTTTATATGTGATGCTGGAATTGCAGGCAGCAGTTAACCCCCTGTACCACAATGCCAGCCCCAAACCTTTTTTTTTTTTTAAGATTTATTTTATTTATTCAAAAGGCAGAGTTCCAGCAACAGAAAAAAAAAGGGTGTGGGGAAGGGGAGAAGGGGATAGAGACTTCCACCTGCCGGTTCACTCCCCAAATGACCTCAACAACCAGGACTGGGCAGGCTAAAGCCAGGAAACAGGAGCTTCATCACGGTCTCCCACGTGGATGCAGTGTTACCTGCCAATCATTATACATACTCTGGGCATCTTTTTTTATAGATAACTTTTTTTAACATTTATTTATTTATTTGAAAGGCAGAGTTACAGAGAAGCAGAGACAGAGAGATGGTCTTCCATCCACTGGTTCACTACCCAAATGGCCACAACAGTCAAAGCTGGGGCTGATCCAAAGTCAGGAGCCAGGAGCTTCCTCCAGGTTTCCCACGCAGGTGCAGGAGCCCAAGGACTTGAGGCCATTTTCCACTGCTTTCCCAGGCCATGGCTGAGAGCTGGATCAGAAGTGGAACAGCCGGGACTCAAATAGGCACCGACATGGGATCCCAGTGCTGTAGGCAGCAGCTTAACCCTTTATGCCACAACACCGGCCCCCTCCCTTTTTTTGTTTTTAAACAAAACAGGTTGCCTCACAGAAATGTTCTCTTCAAAACTGTGTTTTGAAGCATCCATATTGAATCACATGCTCTTTCATTATGCTTACAAAAACTGACAGAATCTCCAAAAGTTCAAATTACTATAACCTTACAAATATTGATATATGAACCTCAAGAAACTGACAAAAAATCTTCAAAAGATGTACACATGTATTTTCCTTATTTAAGTATATTGGAATAATGAAGAAACCTTACATATTACTTAAATCTTAAGTTTCAAAGTATCAAATTTATGAAATTACAACTTCAAGGAGAAAAAAACTTACTTGATGCTCCTGAGGCCAAACAGATTAATAATAAACAAAACAATCACTTTTCTTACCTTAAGGTAACAGTGCACATAGCAATAATGAAGCAGATTATCCGAAGGCTGAGTAAGGCTGCTGACCACATGCACCAACTGTTCTGCATACATTGGCACAGAATGTTCCAGATTAACTTTATCCACAAGTATCTGAATGGATGGCAAAGGTCGAAGAGACTGGAAATTTGTAGCATTCATGAAGTTACTTGAGGTCTGGAAAAATTGTGTTCAGTTTATTAATTCAGGAGTAGAGTAGCAGCTGATGTGCTGTTCCCTCTATTAAGGCTTTAACCTAAACATTATGCAGTAACATCAAATCGATCTAGTAAACATGCCTTTCCGTATAACTCTTGCTATAACCAAACACAAACATCTATTTTTAATATGTCTCATATTTCAAAGAATATGTATTTATGGCAAAATTATCCTTACTTTTTTACTAATACTTTTTATTTCTTGATGTAGGTATTTTCTTCACTATAAACTCAATCATTCCAAAAACTTTTCTAGATACCAACAGCCAGTCATCTTTTACTTTTCTTTCCCTTTATTCACATTTATATAACTAAAGAACTAAGTGTCACACTTACAACAGGCAAAGTTTACAGGAAAAAAAGAACTTCAATGTTCCATACAGTATCTACTAAAATTACATGTTAAAGTCTCAGAAAGTCCTAAGAATCCTAAAGAGGACTTAGTATTCTCAGTGTTACAGAACCTTTCTGAGTTTCCAATAAATTTTAAAGATGCCCAGAGGGGCCAGCGCTATGGCATAGTAGTTGAAGCCACCGCATGCAGTGCTGGCATGCCATATGGTGCCCGTTTGAGTCATGGCTATTCCACTTAGATCCATCTCTCTCCTATGGCCTGGGAAAGCAGTGGAAGATGGCTCAAGTCCTTGTGCTCCTGCACTCGCATGGGAAACCCAGAGGAAGCTCCTGGCTCCTGGCTTCAGATCAGCCCAGCTCTGGCCACTGCAGCCATTTGGAGAGTAAACCTGGGGATGGAAGACTTTCTCTCTGCCTCTGCCTCTCCAACTCTGACTTTTCAATAAATAAATGAATCTTTTTAAAAATATGTTATCTATTAAAAAATAAAATAAAGATGCCCAGAGTACATATAATGATTGGCAGGTAACCCTTTCCTGCTTTTCCTTAATGCCTTCAAAATGCCAAACCTATGTTACTCAAGGAGAACACTATGACTTCCCTCCCAAGAAGAATGTGAAAATATGACAATAACAAATTCATTGTTCTGTTTTCTCTTTTTAAGTATCACAATACTACTGGCATTCACGATGCATTGACCACACAATTCCAAATTTTGTGGATGTAGTAAAAATGGTGCTTAGAAAGAAACTTAGAACATTAAGTGCACATATTAGAAAAGAAGAAATCTAAATTCAACCTAAAACTAGAAAAAGAAGAGCAAATTAAATCCAAAATAAGCATAAGAAAAGAAATAATAAACACTGGAGCAGAAATCAATGAAACTGAAAACAGATCAAGGGGAAAAAGCAAGAAAATCTGGTTCTTTGGAGAGGTCAATAAAAATTTGTATGCCGCTGGATAACCTAATTTAAAAAAGAATACATGACTTAAAATATCTGCAATGAAAGAGGAATGTCACTACAAATCCCATGGACATTAAAGAAATACTATGAAAAATTTTTTGTCTATAAATTTGATAACCTAAATGAGATGGACTAATTTCTTAAAAGATACAAGCTGAGGACCCTGGGTACAGTGATAACTTTTAGATAGAACACCAAAGACAGAATTCATGAAAGAAACAACTGTTAAACCAGACTACACTAAAATTAAATTTTTTTTACTTTGTGAAGCATACTATTGATATGAGAGGACAAGCCACAGAAGAATGGAAAAATATTTGCAAATGACATATCTGACAAAGGACTAGTATCCAACGTATACAAAGAAGACTTAAAATCATGAAGATAACAAATAACCCAATTAAAAAGTGAGTGAAAAATCTGAAGAGACTCCTCATGTAGGCAAATAAGCCTACAGAATGATGCTTACACCATATATCATCAGGGAAGCAAATCTGAATGAGACGTCACTACACGGTTTTAGAATGGAGAATTCTAAAACACTGACAACACCAAACGCTGGCAGGGGATGTGGAACACTCATTCACTGCTGGTGAGAATGCAAAATTTTATAGTCACGACACATACATACAGATATTTATATCAGCTTATTCCTAATTACCAAAATGTTGAAGCAACCAAGATGGTCTTCAGCAAGTGAACTGATAATTTTGGTATACCCAGATATTGGAATACTATTCAGAACTAAAAAGAAATGAACTTTCAAGCCATGAAAATAATGGAGGATCTCTAAATAGGTATTGCCAAATGGAAGAGGCCAATCTGGAAAGGCTAAAATACTCTATGTTTCCAAATGTATGACATTCTAGAAAAGGCAAATTACAGTGACAGTATAGAGATCAGTGGTTGTCAGTGGTTACAAAGGGAGAAAGATAAACAGGTAGAGCACAGAGGATTTCTAGGACACTGAAACTACTCTGAATGAAACTGTTATGACAGATGTACGTCACTACACATTTGTCAAAACTGATAGAACATAAAACACCAAAGTAAACCCTAATATAAATTAGCAGCTTTTGGTAATGATGTGCCAATGTTAGTTCATCAATTCTAACAAATTTACCAGTCTAGTGTGGGATGTTAATAATGGATAACTATGCATATGCATGAGCAAGCAATACATGGGAAATCTCTGCACCTTCTCAAATTTTACATCATCTTAAAACTGCTCTGAAAAAATATTTTAAAATATTACATTACATTAAAAATGGAACTGACAAAATACTGATGGCTTTCATTTTCTCTAGTGAAATTTTCTCTAGATGATCTCTTATTCATAAAGCAATGCAATATAATAGTTATGAGTGCTCAATAGGAAGCAAATATACAAAATGGAACTAATTCATCAAGCAATTCCCTGCCATACTTCAAGAAATTATTATTAGTTAGTACGCTTTATAATTCTATAATCATCATGTGGCCATCAAAAGAAATATGTCCAAGAAAACTAACAAATTTAAATTAACAGATAAGGACTAACATGTATAACTCAAACTGAGAAAGCAACATATTGCATAAGAACTTTAAACTATTAAGCATTAAATAAATCCTCATTGATAACAACAGTAGTAATCACTGGGTTCCTAGTATGTGCAAAATGGTTGACATACATTATCCTATTCAATATTCAAAATAATCCAAGGGGAACTGATCTGTGTCAGCACCTGATAACATGACACAAATCCATGTCACAAAGGCAAGGTTTACCCGCAGCAGACACAAGCCTTAGTAGAATGTATAGTGATATTCTAAGAACAAAGGAAGACAAGGAGTCTTCTAAAGGGCTGCGAAACAACTATTTCTCAGGCATTGTCCCACCTTGAAGGAGGCCATCCTGAGACAGTTTCTTATCATCATCTCATTCAGATAATACGGTCCTCCCCACCTAGCCCTCTTAAGAGTATACCAGCAGGGGCCGGCGCCACGGCTCACTAGGCTAATCCTCCGCCTTGCGGTGCTGGCACACGGGGTTCTAGTCCCGGTCGGGGCGCCGGATTCTGTCCCGGTTGCCCCTCTTCCAGGCCAGCTCTCTGCTGTGGCCTGGGAGTGCAGTGGAGGATGGCCCAAGTGCTTGCGCCCTGCACCCCATGGGAGACCAGGAAAAGTACCTGGCTCCTGCCATCGGATCAGCGCGGTGCGCCAGCCACAGCGCGCAGGCCACAGTGGCCATTGGAGGGTGAACCAACAGCAAAGGAAGACGTTTCTCTCTGTCTCTCTCTCTCTGTCCACTCTAGCTGTCAAAAAAAAAAAAAAAAAAAACACCAGCAGGATATATAATTGCTAAGCAACTGTGTGAAATGGCATCCTCGCCAACAAGATGCCCTACCATGCATATTGCTAGTCATCTCACATCTAACACCATTACTGATTTTTCTTTTGCTAAGTAGTAATAAAATATCTGAATCTATCTGTGCTTATTATTTATTTATTGGTTAAATCTGTAAGCTTGCTGGGAAATAAAACTCTTGTTTTCCAGAAAAAGCAAAGTTTAGAGATAAAAGCAATTGTCTAAGCTGTTAAAGATAACATATGCTCTAACTTCTAATAAACCCATGATCTTCAACATTTCTTTACACAGCTTTAGATTAAGTTCACTTTATTAAAATACATACATTTTACTTTCTAAGAACTAACAATAATTACATTGCTTTTATTGCATTAAGGATAATCATTTGAACAGAAGTTCTTTTATGTAATAACTAAATACATGCATATATGTAGGGGAATAACGAAATATACCTTTTCTCCCATAATGACAGGTATCAAGTGGTCCAACAAGTTGAATTCAGCCATGAAAATTGTACAGGTACATTTGAGGAGAGTAATAGTTGTATGTCGAGTAGGAATATATTCCTCCAGGGAAGCTACTTCTTCAGGATTCAGTATTCTTTCATTTTCATCCTTCATATCTAAAATTAAAATGAAAATTTAATGAATAATACTTTAAATTGATTTTCTTAAACAACTGAAAAATTAATCTGTTAACAAACTTCATGGACAAATTCTGTTGGTTTTTCCAATAATGAAACATTTGTACAAATAAGTTACCCTTAACAAATAAAATACTACTCAGGAATGTAAATGGGTCTTTGCTACGTAAAAACTTACTAACTTATTTTAAAACATTAAGAAATTTTCAATTTCTTTCTTCGAAATAACAACAACTTCTGATACCACTGAAATACATGTAAAGCCCAGACAGACCAGGAGAAAGTATTTGCCACAGACAGCTAGCTACATATACAAAGATTTATATCCACAGTATATATTAAAAAGATAAAACTTAAAGAACACCGAAAAATCACTAAGAAACATATAAAAAATTTAAGGTGATAAATGGGCAAAAAAGACTTGAATAAACAAGAGATAACACGTCCAAAAAGCCAAAAGCTGGTCAACATTTTTAGTCACTGGATAAATGAATATAAAATCACAGTATGATGGTACTACACACCTCTCAAATGGTTAAAATTAAAGATTCATGTTGACAAGCATATAGAAAAAAGATCAGCAAACTTGTTGTCAAGTTGTGGTGTAACAGGTAAAGCCACAACCATATGGGCACAGGTTTGTCTCCCAGGTGCTCCACTTTCAACCCAGCTCCCTGCTAATGGCCTGGGAAAAGCAGTGGAAGATGGCTTAAGTGCTTGGGTCCCTGCCACATTTGTGGGAGACCCAAAAGAAGTTCTTGACATCAGCCTAGCCCAGCCCTAGTCATTGCAGCAATCTGGGGAGTGAACCAATGTATGAATGATCTGTCCCACCCCCCCCCACCCCCGCCCCGCCCCACCCACCACATTCCTGTAGCTCTTTCAAATACGAAAATAAATAGCAGCAGCAGGAAAAGGGGGGGGGGGGCAGTGGAAGAGAATAAGGGAGAGGAGGAGGAGGAAGAAAATGGAGAGAAAACTTATGAAAAAAAAAACAGAAGAATTACATAGAGGGGCCAGTGTTGTGGTTTAAGAGGTAAAGCCATTGCCTGTGACACCAGCATTCTATGTGGATGCAGGTTCGTGTCCCAGCTGTTGCACTGCTGAGCCAGTTCCCTGCTACTGCCCTGGGAAATGCAGAGGAAGATTGCCAAAATTTTTGGCCCCTGCCACCCACATGGGCGACCCAGGTAAGACTTTGGTCTCCGGGCTTCAGCCAGGTTCAGCCCTGGCCTTTGCAGCCATCTGGGGAGTGAACCAGCAGATGGAAGATCAATCTGTCTCAATCTCTCTCTCTTTTTTTTTTTTTTAAGATTTATTTTATTTATTTGAAAGACAGAGTTACAGAGAGAAGCAGAGACAGACAGAGAGGTCTTCCATCAGATGGTTCACTCCTCAATTGGCCACAATTGCTGGAGCAGCACCGATCCGAAGCCAGGAGCTTCTTCCGGGTCTCCCACGTGGGTGCAGGAGCCCAAGGACTTGGGGCATCTTCCACTCCTTTCCCAGGCCATTGCAAAGAGCTGGATCGGAAGAGGAGCAGCCAGGACTAGAACCAGTGCCCATATGGGATGTCGGCACTTCAGTCCAGGGCGTTAACCCACTGCCCCACAGCACCGGCCCCATCACTAACTCTTTCAAATAAATAAATATTTAAAAAAAAAGTTATATAGAACATATTTTAAACTTTGTGGCCAATACTGTCATCACAATTACTCAAATCTACCACTGCAGCACTAAAGCAGCCTCAGATAATACATGTAACCAAATAAACATGACTATGTCAAAATAAAACTTTCTAGAACCTCAAGATAAATTTCATATAATTTTCATTAGTCACAAAACAGCAATTCTTTTATTTTTTCAGCCATTTAAAATGTAAGAACCATTCTCTGCTCACAAGTTATACAAAACTGGTAGGAATCATAATTTGATTAAGAACAACTAAAACTCTTATACACTGCAAGCAGAAAGGTAAAGGGGTTCATTCACTCCTTCAGAAACAAACACATCATGGCAATAGACACTAAAGATGAATACATGCAATCACTGGACCTAGTGTTTCTACTTTTAGATACCCTATAAAAATGTGTACATTCATAAAGAGCCTTCAAAAAGTTGATTTCGAATGAGTGCGATGGGAGAGGGAGCGGGAGATGGAAGGGAAGTTATTGGGGGGACAAAGCTACTGTAATCCAAAAGCTATATTTTGGAAATTGATATTTATTAAATAAAAGTTTCAAAAAAAGTTCATTTCAAATATGTTAAAATATGTTATGAAAAAATGGTACAGGGATATCAAAAATATTTTGCAACAAAATGAACTTATCTTTTCATTGCATTTTGCCATGAACTTTTGGAGCACCGTTATGTTTATTAAAAGATAGGTAATGCAATGATTGTGGAATCACTGTCAAAATATCCAAAAAAACAAAAACTAGGGGCAGGCATTTGGTACAGGAGTTAAGTCACTACATAGACAACAGTATCCCATATCAGAATGCCAAGACTCAAGACCCAACTTCAGGGGCTGGTGCTGTGGCCAAGTGGGTAAAGCCACAGCCTACAGTGCCAGCATCCCATATGGGTGCCACCTGTATGAGTTCTGGCTGCTCTACTCCCGATCCAGTTCCCTGCTAATGCACCTGGGAAAGCAGCTGTAGATGGCCCAAGTGCTTGGACCCCTGCACCAAACTGGGAGACTAGGAAGAGGCTCCTGGCTCCTGGCTGCAGCTTGGCCCAGCCCTGGCTTGTTTTGGCCATTTTGGCAGTGAACCAATAGATGGAAGCTCTTGCTCTCATATGAACTCCCCACTCCTCTCTCTGTAACTCTGCCTTTCAAGTAAATAAAGAATTTTTTTAATGTTTTATTTATTTGAGAGGTAGAGGGACAGAGAGGAAGATTTTCTACCCACTGGTTTACTACACAGATGGCTGCAATGGCCGGAGCTGAGCCAATCCAAAGCAGGAGCAAGGAGCTTCCTCTGGGTCTCCCATACAGTTGCAGGGGTCCACGCACTGGGGCCATTTTTCGCTGCTTTCCTTGGCCATAAGCAGAGAGCTGGATCAGAAGAGCAGCAACCGGGACACGAACCGACACCCACACAGGCTGTCAGCACCGCAGGCAGAGGCTTAGCCTAATACACCCCAGAGCAGGCCCCAAAAATACATCTAAAAAAAAAAAGATGAAAAAGATGCAACTTCAACTCCAATTTCAGCTTCCTGCTGATACATACCCTAGGAGGCAGTGGCATAAGTACTTGGGTCACTACCACCCAAATGGGAGAACTGAATTAAGTTCTGGGCTCGTGGCTTCTGCCTGCCCCAGCCTTAGCTGTTGCAGGCATTTGAGGAGTGAACAAGAGGGTGCACAATCTCTCTGTGTCTGTTCTCCTCCTCTGTATCTCTTTGCCTTTCCAATAAATAATAAATAAAATTGTAAAATACAATAATTAACCCAATTCTCATCAGTAGTAAAACAGAAAAATACACTGTGGTACATTCATACAACGGGAATCCATACAATAATGAGAATAAATTTCTCAAACATAATGTCAGTTAAAACAGAGACAAAAAAAGCATATACAGTGTGATCCCATTTACATGGATTCAAAAATAAGCAATAGTGAAGATGTTAGACTCGATGATATATAATCTTGTGGTCAGGACAGTAACAAGAAGGTAGCACAATGAGGATTTCTGAAAGCACTAGTAAATTTCTACTTCTTGAACAATTAGTTACACAGTTGTGGTTAGGGTTGCAAATATAAGAATTTGCTATGGAGCTATATGTAATCAAGTCAGTATGGAACTGACAGAGGAGAAAATCACAGGTCTATTAACAGACAACAGACTAGAAGATCCAGAAACAGACCCACACGAATATACTCAATTGATTTCTATAAAGGAGGAAAAACAATTCAAGAGAGGAAATTGTGCTGGGGTTATTGGAAATTCAAAAGCAAATAAATAAGGCTCAAACTAAATCTTATCCATGCTGTAAAAAATTAGCTCAAAACAGGTCATGAACTTAGATAAAAAATTTTTAAATGACAATAAAAGTTTTAGAAAAAAAGCAATCAAATTTAAAAGTGTACAAAACACATGGACATTTCACTGAAGAATAAAAAAATGGCAGACAAGCTCAGGAAAAGATATTCAACATCATTATCTAGTAAGGAAGGGATATTTACAAAAACAATGAGATTCTTGGACTGCCAATTAAAACTAAACACCTATCTTAATGGGTAAATAGAGAAGGGACAACATCAAATGCTGGGAAGATAGAAAGAAACTAAATCAATCATTCATTGCTGATAGCACTGTAAAATGGTACAGTCAAATCTGCAAACAGTTTGGGTGTGTTTATAATAAGGCAATATGAGAAGATTAATAAGAACTGCAAGCCAGATTTGAAACCACAGTCTGAGGTATTAACTATTATCCTAAATTCCCTCTTATGCTATCATGTTCTAGTCTTCTTAAGAGATGTTTCACTGCATTAAAAAGCAAACTTTTATTTTATGAAACTATGATAACTGTATCTTCATACCATGTTGAAAAAATTTGTTTGCAGCAAATTCTTTTTTACTAGTGGTATCTAAATTTTCTTGAATGTTAAGTTACTAACTTTTGAGCCTGGTTCTTCAAAAATCATTAATTTGATAAAAGGATGACATTTCCTAAGTATACTCTAGAAAAAGTATTGCAAAGGTATGATAGTTAAATACTAATACATATTGGCAAAGTACTTGCACAATTTCCAAATCTTGACTTCTCCTATAACTTCTACATAAAATTTAATCTCTAAATAAACAATGAAATAAATAAATCCTTACAGATAGGCATAATACAATAAAAGTTAAACTCAATAAAATAGGACAAATTTAATTATGTAATCAACGAAAATCAGCTAGCAATAGATTAAGAATTGAATCACAAACCAACCTGGTTTTAGCCTACTATATGGCTCATATTCATGTTCCAAAGCACAAACAATCATTTTCAAAATCCTATGTACTGCACTGCTATCCAAGCGCAAGTCAAGGGGACCTATAACAAGGCTTTTAGTAGACTTCTCTTGGACTATTCCCACATCTTCACTTTTTCCTGAGGAAAAGTCTTGTTGATTTGCAGAACCTACAAGAAACCAAATATTATATAACTTAAGCAGGAATCAGACATAAAGTACACACATTAATATTAGTCCTCTCTCATCTTGTTTGTACCTTCACGCTTTAATATCACTATCAGCTGGATACAAAAAACTCTGAAGATCTGTATTTTTCTCAATGCAGATAAGATATTCCTGAAAACAAAAGCAACTGATTCAAAAAACAATTATCCCTGTGATCTGCTTAATAACATGGCAACAAGTGCTATAAATCAAAATGGTCATTCTTAGGAAATTACTCTATAAAATTTAATTAGCATATATCCAATATACTATTGTGTTGAATGGAAAGGGTGATTCTGGAGGAAGTTGCATTACACTACTAATATATCTTAAAAGTTTCATTGAAAATAAGATTTTTTAAATTATACATTCATAGGACACCTTGAGAGTTTTTTTTTTTTTTTTCAAGATTTATTTATGGGCCGGTGCTGGGGCATAGTGGGTAAAGCCACCACCTGCAGTGCCAGAATCCTGTATTGGCATTGGATTGTGTCCTGGCTGTCCCACTTCCGATCCAGCTCTTTGCTATGGCCTTGGAAAGCAGTAGAAGATGGCCCCAGTCCTTGGGCCCCTGCACCCATGTGGGAGACCCGCAAGAAACTCCTAGCTCCTGGTTTGAGACAGGCACAGCTCCAGACATTGCAGCCAAATGGGGAGTGAACCATCGGATGGAAGACCACTCTCTCTGCCTCTCTTTCTCTCTGTGTGTAACTCTGACTTTCAAATAAATAAATAAATCTTAAAAAAAAAATGATTGGTTGATTGATTTGATAGGCAGAGCTACAGAGAGGCAGAGGCAGAAAGAAAGAGAAGTTTTCCATCTGCTGGTTTACTCCCCAGTTGGCTGCCACGCCAATCCAAAGCCAGGAGCCAAGAGCTTTTTTTTTTTTTTTTTTTTGACAGGCAGAGTGGACAGTGAGAGAGAGAGAGAGACAGAGAGAAAGGTCTTCTGTTGGTTCACTCCCTAAATGGCTGCTATGACCGTCGCGCTGCATCAATCCGAAGCCAGGAGCCAGGTGCTTCTTTCTGGTCTCCCATGCGGGTGTAGGGTCCAAGCACTTGGGCCATCCTCCACTGCACTCCCAGGCCACAGCAGAGAGCTGGACTGGAAGAGGAGCAACTGGGACAGAATCCGGCGCCCCAACAGGGACTAGAACCCGGGGGTGCCAGCACCGCAAGCAGAGAATTAGCCTAGTGAGCCGCGGTGCCAGCCAGGAGCCAAGAGCTTTTTTTTTTTTTCCAAGTCTCCCATGTGGGCACAGGGGCCCAAGGACTTGGGCCATCTTCTACTGCTTCCCCAGGCCAGAAGAGAGCTAAAATGGAAGAGAAGGAGCCAGGATTTGAACCCATGCCTCTATGGGATACCGGCACCACAGGCAGCAGCTTTACCTGCTGCACTGCAGTGCCAGCCCCTCCTTGAGAGTTTTCTAGGGACCGTGGAAATGAAAACAGGTATTGCGGGGAGCAACTCGGACTAGACTGTTACTGGAATTAAGACTTATTCTATGCATCTGCTCTCCCACAATATAGCACTGGGGAGGAGTAAACTTCTACGCAGCTGCCTCTCACCAACTTGACAAACTGCGGGAGCCGATCCTGCTCCTGATTGGAGGAGAGCAGCGTACTCGGCATGTGGGTAGCAGAGTTGGGATTGGTGGAAGAGGACTATAAAGGAGGAGAGAGACGGCATGCACCAGGAACATCTAAGGGGAACATCTAAGGGGAACACCTGTGCAGCCCCCGAGAGAGCCGGCCAGCGGTGTGCCGCTCCCCTGCGGAAGTGGGGAATGTGGCCAGGGGGAACTGCCCTTCCACGGAGGTGGAAGGGATAGTAGCCAACCCGGGAAGAACCAGCAGCAAACCCGGGGAGGGCCGAGCAGACGAAAGAACAGCGCAGGGTCCTGTGTCGTTCCTCCATGAAGAGGGGGAGCGATATAATGGTGCCGTGACTCGGATATGAAGCCTAGGCAGGGCTTAGTGTCGTTCCTCCATGAAGAGGGGGAGCAACAGTATCCTATTAAATAATCCAGCAGACAGTCTTAGGAGTTCCTGAGGGCATGGAAAGAGAGAACGGATTAGAAAGCCTTTTTAGTGAAAAAATTACAGAAAATTTCTTTAATTTGAAGAAACGGATGTCCAAATACAGGAAGCACATACAATTCCTAATAGACATGACCAGAAAAGATCTTCACTATGACACACTGCAGTTAAACTCACCACAGTAAAACAGAGAAGATTCTAAAATGTGCACAAGGAAGAGTTAGGGAGAAAACAGCAGAGGAAACTCTACCCAAATTGGAGGAATACAGTGGACATATATGGAGGGCAAGGACACGCACAATTTAGGACCCCAGCATCTGAACGCCTCCACACCAGAATTGGAGAGTGAGGTAAGAACAGACTACAGCATCCCCAGTCACTGAAAAAAAAAAAAAAAAAAAAAAAAAAAAAAAAAGCTACAGGAAAAGCATAGAGGAATCTGGCTTGGAGTCTCATGGGGTATAGTATACCTGCCAAACTAGAAGAGAAAAAACAAAGGGGTGAATATTTTCTCTCTCCCCTATCATCCAGCAAAGATGTCCTGTAACAAGCTGACAGACAGCAGGCACCATTTTTGACATACATAACAGCTGCTCCAGCTTGTGTCTGTGCCCAGCAACCAGCAAAACAGAGACTCCTCAGAATGGTGGGGAGAAGAGACAGGGGGCTGGGTGCTCGTGACTGTGAGAGGTTTGTGTGCCAGGACTGTGAAAACACTGAGGCTGCGTGGGAGGACTCAGTATGGCTGGGACACTGGGCTGTCACTGTGGGAGGCTCCACAGGATCAATGCTCCCTAGTTACCTGGGTGAGGGACATTGCTGGGAAATCTGAGCTTACACTGAAGACTGTACACATCCTTTGTGTGGTCCTTGTGGCAGAGGATGAATAATATACTCACTGGGGCTAGCACCCAGGCTCAAGGAAAGGAGCTCAGCTGAGTCTACGCCAACAGACAAGAAGAAAGTTCCCCTCCAATTAAAAAAATACAGAGATTTACCACACCAAACCTGGGTGTATCACCTCACAACACACACTTCACCCTGGAACACTGGATCAGAGCTCTCTGGCCACAGCCATCACATGCCCCTTGTATTCCCTGAAAGAAGACACTCCACTAACCCACTCAAAGTCCAAAGATAAAAGCCACAACAGTGGAAAAACAAAAAAGAAACCACAAATGCCGAATAACAAACACACCAATTCAACATGACACCCTGAAAAGAACAATACTTCAATACCAGATTGTGAATATGATAAGACTGAAGAAATGCCAGAAATGGAATTCAAAAAATTGATCATAGGATTACTTGGAAGTAATCACACGAAAATGCATGAACTAATGAAAGAACTGAAAGAAAATTTCTCCCATGAAATTGAGATCTTAAAAAGAAATGAAAATGAAATCTTGGCAATGAAGATTTCAGTAGAACAAATAAAAAATACAGTGGAAAGCCTTAACAGAATCAGTGAAGCAGAAGAAAAAACAGCCGACTTAGAAGACAAAGCACAGGAAATTATACAGTCAGACCAAAAACAAGAAGAAGAAGAAATTAGAAAACTAAAAAACACTGTTGGGAATCTACAGAATACTAACAAACGACCCAACATACAGGTTCTAGGAGTTGCTAAAGGCACGGAAACAGAAAGCATTAGAAGGCCTTTTTAGTGAAATAAAAAGATAAAATTTCCCCAATTTGGAGAAAGAAAGGGACACACAAGTAAGGAAGCACGTAGAACTCCTAACAGACATGACCAGGAAAGATCTTCACCACGACACATTGTAATCAAACTCTTCACAGTAAAACATAAAGAAAAGGTGCTAAAATGCGCATGAGAGAAATGCCACATTACTTTCAGAGGATCTCCAATTAGACTCTCAGTGTACTTCTCATCAAAAACTCTACAGGCTCAGAGAGAATGGCAAGATATATTCCACGTCTTAAGAGAAGGAACTATCAACCAAGAATATAAAACCCTGTCAAGTTCTCACTTATGAATGAAGGTGAAAGAAAGACCTTCCATGACAAACAGAAATTGAAATAATTAGTTCACCAACTGTCCAGCCCTGCAGAAGATGCTTAAGGAGGTGCTGCACACAAAAATACAGAAACATGGTCATTACTATGGAAGAAGGTAAAGGAAAGAAATCTCTCAGTAAAAGTACAAAGGAAATCCAAAGCAAAAATTGGGAATATTCATGGAAAAATGGCAGGGCAAAGTCACTACTTATCAATAATCACCTTGAATGTAAATGGCCTTATGTCTCCAGTTCAAACACAAAATGGATGAATGGATTAAAAAACAAAACCCATCTATTTGCTACCTACAAGAAACACAACTCATAAACAAAGGTGCATGCAGACTGAAGTAAAAGAATGGAAAAAGGTATTCTCTGCTAACAGAAGCCAAAAAAGAGCTAGTTTAGCCATCCTAATATCAGACAAAATGACTGTAACACAAAAACTGTTAAAAGAGAGAAAGAAGGACACTATGTAATGATTAAGGGATCAATTCAACAGGAAAATGTGACTATTATAAATGCATATGCACCTAATTACAGGACACCTGGCTATTTAAAAGAAATGTTAAGGGATCTAAAGGGAGACATAGACTCAAAGACAATAGTAATAGGGGATTTCAGTACCTCACTTTCAGCAATGGACAGAACAACCAGACAGAAAATTAGCAAGGAAACAGCAGAGTTAATTGACACTATAAACCAAATGGACTTAACAGACATCTACAGAACTTTACATCCCTAAAGCTGCAGAATACAAATTCTTCTCAGCAGTACATGGAACTTTCTCTAGAACTGACGACATGCTAGGCCAAAAAGCAAGTATCTGTAAATTCAAAAAAATCGAAATCATACCATACATCTTCTTGAACCAAAATACAATGAACTGGAAATCAGCAACTCAT